AAAAACAGAACTACACATGGACAGAATTAAATTACAAGCATTAAAAAAACAAATGGGACAAGTACTGTCTCCAGCTCATTGTTTGGCAAATATTGTCAATATCCAGTATCAGGGTCAAAACTTAAGTGCTGAGGAAGAGGAGTTAGCTAAGACATGGGTATCCAGCAATCATCCATCTGTAATGCCAACTATAATAAACTTCAAAGCTAAGGGGGAACCATTCAAGAAATATATGCTTGCTGAAGATATTTTAAAGAAAGTCACACCAGTGAACTGGTGGAAGTCACTTAAGCACTTGGATTTAGAGACTGTTCAAGTAATGATTTCACTTTTAACAGCAGTAGCTTCTTCTGCAGGCGTTGAAAGAATATTCTCTTCCTTTGGACTCGTTCATTCTAAATTGATAAATCGTTTGGGACCCGATAAAGCAGGAAAGCTTGTTTTTCTTTTCCAGATTATGAACAAAGGAGATGAAGATGACGAGTGAGCTACAGAGGACAGTATTTAAGTTTTTCATGTGTAGGCTGGGCTGACAGTCTAAGTTTCTTAATATATATATATATATTGTTTAGCCAAATTAGTTAACAAACATGGATGTTTGTTTAAGCAAATAACATATGCTGTAATGTTATTGTTTCAGTTGAATAAATCTATTTAAATTGTTATTATTAAGGTAATGATTATTTTTCTCCTTCTTAAGTACAACAGAAAAGTTGTCCAAATATGAATGATTAACCTTTTAAACTGGGGATAAAAAAACTAATATGAAAAGTTGTTATTCTAAAAATCTTCATCTACTTGCATATTAAAGTTATACCAGCAAGAATTAGTCTTTATGTAGAAAATTATGATTTAAATCAAGCCTTACTGACTAGTGATTTAAATCGTGATTTAAATCGTGATTTAAATCAGTTTGATTTAAATCAAATCCACCCTGCCTGGTTGGCTAATGAAACATCTGCAAAAAAACCAACTTGGGCCAGTCACGCTTACAGTCACACTGTAAGAAGAAGGCAGTGGCAAAACACTTTTGAAAATGTTGCTTATAAAACCACATGAATTTGTCTGTGTAGCTGCCGGAAGTCAAGAATGATCTGAAAGCAGAGTGAGAGTCGATATAACATATGATATACAGTATGTATATGTATATGTATATGTATATGTATGTATATGTATATTATGTATGTATTTCTCTTTGGCCAGATTCTTCCTACGTAAACCAAGATTTTTATGCAGCCCTACTTCAGTGAAATCACAATCCACTAATTTCTAGGCTTTTTTTTTTCTGGCAGCCAGCAAACACTCTGCTGCCCATTGGGAGACTAAGGAGATTAAGATAGATCTATTTCGGACTTATAAATCCTCATCAGTTAGCCATACCCTCATCCCATGTATCCTCCCTGTAAAGGTACAGTATTTGTTTTCTTTCCTTTTCGTAGGCTTTGTGTATTTCTCTTTAGCCAGGTTCTTCCTACGTAAACCAAGATTTTTATGCAGCCCTACTTCAGTGAAATCATAATCCACTAATTTCTAGGCTATGATATGATCAGTGGTGGATTGCCCCCAGTTTGGACCTGTTCACAAGAACTGGTAGTAAAACCGGCGGGAGGCCCCACCCACTGCCCCGGATGTCATCATCAACAATCTGCGCATGCGCAGAAGCTTTTTTTTTTTGTAGTAAAGGTAAGTAGAACCCACCCCTGGGTATAATGTATATGTATATGAGACAAAACATATACAGGCAGGGATGGGATTCTACCGGTTTGGACTGGTTTGGATGAACCGGTAACTCCGATGATCACCTGGGAGTGAACCAGTTTGCTCCGACGATCAGGTCAGCCTGCCTACTGCGCTTTACTTGCCTTTATCTTCTCAGCTGATTGGCGCAGCAGAGCGGATTGTCATGCCTCAGCTATGTTACTCCCAAGTGGTAACACAGAAGGTTAGTATTTGTAAAACTGCACACAAGCGAAACAAGCATGCGCGCACAAAGCACGCGATCACCAAACTGGCAACATCCCACCACTGTATACAGGTATTCCTGTATGTGCATTCTCATTAGCAAGAATGGTGCTATTACAGGAGGGGGAGGGGGAATGGCTACCTTGAAATCTTAGAGTATGTTCTTCCCCAGCTCCAGATTCCCAAGGATATTGAAACACACCAACAGTCCTTATCAAACCAACCAGCCCAGAAAACAAAATACGGTAAGACTTTTCCAAAAATGCTCTGATGATAATTGCAAGTTGTTTCTAGCAAGAAACTTACTAACAGCGTGAGACTTAAATAGGCTAAGGGAGTGGCCAATTATCCTCAAGCCTTACTCTCAAGGAGACCTCCTCCTCCTGAGTAGCCACTCCTGCCTTTTGGCAGCCCTGCGTGCTCGAGCATTGAGGAGAGGCTCTTCTACTTCGCTATCTCCACTTGAAGGAGCCTCTGGAGGTTCTGAAGGCCCTGGCTGAGTCTCTGCCTCTGGCACCACATCCTCTTCAGCCTCCTCGCTGTCCGACACAAGCGCCAGCTGCGCAGGCTGCTGGCATGACACCACACCAGCCTCCTCGTCGTCGGGATCAGCCACGATCTGCGCAGGCCGCTGGCGGGCCACAACAGAGTATTTCTTATTTGAGTGGTTAATTGGAAAGCATCCTTCCCTAAAGATAAATTATAATCTGATTAATGTTATTGAAAGTAAAAGGTACATAAAGGTGCATCAAGTTCATAAAGACAAAAATTCCTTAAAATGTGTGGTCGCTGAAATCAACATTTCAAACATGCTGTATTGCTCTTTATTCTACGCACATGTCAAAATATTTTAGAGGAATGTATATAGCTGTTACTGTATAATATGAATGTATTGTTTTTAAATTATAACAGAATAACAGAGTCGAAAGGTACCTTGGAGATCTTCTAGTCCAACTCTTTACTCAAGCAGGAGACATTATACCATTCCTGACAAGTGGCTATCCAATCTCTTCTTAAAGGCCTCCAGTGATGGGGCATCCACAACTTCTAAAGAAACGCCATTCCATTGATTAATTGTTCTCACTATTGAAAAAATTCTCCTTAGTTCTAGGTTGTTTCTCTCTTTGATAATGTATTATTAATCTGTATATTTATTTATTTAAGTGATTCATATGACCGTCCATCTCATGACAATGACTTCTTTTTATTGTTAGTGTGTGTGTGTATGTTTATATAAACAGAAACACACACACATGTTGCATCAAAAAGATAGTATTAAAGACATTTGTAACGGTAATATTAGAGGAAGGGAGAGAGGAAGAGAGACCATACAACAATATAACTAGAAGACAAAGCAGTTTAAAACCTAACCAAAATGACTACCTTGTTGCTCAGTTGTTCCCCTTAGTTCCCTTCCAGCTTTTGTTTTTGGGGGGCCTCTGTCTCCATCTCAGGGACAGGCTGAATGTACACAAAGGTCAAGGATGCCATTTCATAGCCTTTTCTCTGAAGTCCTATTGCACTTATTTTAGACTCCCTAATTGCCACTTCAAGGATAAACCACTGGATGCAATCCAGGGCCTTCTGCTGTGTTCATGAATAGGGTTAACACAAAAGGCTGTGCTTCCTTTCAGCAGAGAAACAAAACAATATATGTGTATTATACAAATACAAAGGCTATATATGTATTACAAGAACCTAATAGTTACAGAATAACAAGTTTCTACTAATTCTAGTATTATTTATTATATCCTTATTACTGTTTCCTTTCAAGGATAAGTAAGGTAACTATAACTTCGTTTTACAAAGGAAAATTCAAGAGCAAAGCCAAGAAAAAACTTGTACGAAAATGCATATTTCAGCTTCCTGAAATAAAGGACATATGGTCACTGTAACTTCATGCTGAAATTCTCTGCCAGGTGTGTCTTCTTCGCAGTGATCTAATTTAGCAGTCATTGAAAATAAGTAAGGACTTGACTTTCCTACCAGTAAACCAATCAATTAAAAACAACTCCTGATTATATATATATATTTTCCTACCCACACCATTTCATCTTGCCACTTAATTTTCACATATCATGGTTTCTTTGTCCTCTACACCTGTGCCACAGAATGCAATTTCAGACAGTATATTAACATAGCTTAAGACAGGGGTGGGCAAATGTGGCTCTTTTACAACCTGTGGATTTCAACTCCCAGAATTCCTGAGAGCCAAGCTGGCTCAGGAATTCTGGGAGTTGAAATCCACAGGTTATAAAAGCCACATTTGCCCACCCATGGCCTAGATAAACATTTTTTGGGGGAGGGGGAGGGAGGTCTATCACCTAATTCTTCTATAGGCCCCTATCTTCTATATCCCCGTTTTATTGGGATAGAGAAGATTTCTACTTTTCTTGCTTGCAGAAAATACATTTTTATAATTAACATACAGTAAGAGAAGCATCCCTTCTCCCACTTCCTTCTCTACATCAGTAAAAAATTAGGGTGATCAAAATGAAAAATTGGCGCCTCCTTAAATCCCACTGTCAGTCCTGTAACCTTTTTTTTTTCTTTGCCCACATCAAACATGGCAGCTGAAGCCTTATTATCATTATTATTACTACTATAGGGAAGAGCTTGTCTCAACAACGACAAAGAGGATGCCTCGCCGTGTTGCCTGTTGCCCAAAGCAAACATGGTGGCTTTTCCGCTCTTTTGAATGCCAGTACTAAACATGGAACCCCAAATTCTTTTCCGTCCCTTGCCATCCAAATCGCAACCCTCTTCCTTGAGTTATGGACACTGCAGCCCTTTATTGCCCCACTCAATCAAGGCTCAAGGTTTCCTCTGCCGTCGCATTAACAAACAGGCTTTAGCGCCCTGAAAAAGCAGCCCGAATCAAAAATGGCGCCGCAGCGAAGCCACCGTTCGCCTGCCCACAAGGAACATGCCGCTTCTACTCCTCTCTCTTCTCCTTGCCCACAGAAAAGATGGGGGAGGTGCGGGGGGAGGAGCATCCTGTTAACTTCCATCGGGGTTGGATTGGAGGGTGGGGGGCAGCGACTGTCGCCAGAGGTCAACTCTTCCTCGCGGCGAACCCCTTGATCAGTTTCTCTAGAGGAGTGGTGGTGGTGGGGGAGTGAGGGCAGACGTTCGCCTCCCTGTCGCCGTCCGTCGAAGGATCTGCCCTTCACTAAAATGTCGGCGCCGATAAGAAGTTGTGAGTACTGTAGACGTTGGGAGGTGGAAGGGGGGGGCGGGGGGGGGGAATTGGGGGGGGGGACCCCCCCCCTCCGCGCGCGCCTTTAGTTAGCCCAGGGGGGGGGGGCGAGCAACAAGGGGAAGGGGGTGGGTTGCCGGGGAGGGGGGAGTTAGAGAGTTTGCAGAGTCGTAACGCCCCGAGTTCGGATCCCGGGTTCCCCAAAAGTGCCTGTGGAAAAGAGGCAGAAGCTACGATCCCTGCAAAGCTACTTCTACCCCCAAAGCGCTGTTAGGGAGCAGCAAAGGGATATCGTGGTCTAGAAACTATGGGTTAGGAAGGATCCCTCTATTCCTCCCCCGCCCCCCAATTCTGCCTGGAGTCTAGACAAAAGTTGGACTTCAACCGGCTGGGAAAACCAGAGCTGGCCGTGGTTAGCTGGAGGTTAGGCGAACGGCAGCCCAGGAGATCTGGGGGGCTTTATGGGGGACACGGAAGGTGCAAAAACTCCTCTTTTTTGGGGCATCTTCAGTGCAGAGGAAGGACTTGGAGGGTCTTTTGGTTTGAAGTCAGGAAGAGAAAAGTGGGTGGATTTCTTAGGATAAGAGGTGTTGGGTGGTCAGTATCCCAGAAGTTGATTTGTGGTTTTTGTAAAAAAAAAAAAAGATTTTTATTTTGCCTATATACAACTCAAGGTGCAAAAGGTACCTAAACAGTCCTCCTCCTCCTGTTTTCCCCATAACAACAACCTTGTGAGGTGGGTTGGGCTGAGAGAAGAGGGAGGGACTGGCCTGAAGTCACCCAGCCAGTTTTTCATGCTGCTGCTGGTTTCTAGGCCATGGTTGCTTTTTAAACTGACTTTTGGGGGTTTTCTCCCCTTCTGGGTTAATGACAGGGAAAGCATTTGGCAGTGTTTCTCAACCTTGGCAGCTTGGAGATGTGTGGACTTCGAATCCCAGACATTGGGTTGGGATTTTGGGGAGTTGAAGTTCACATAGGCAAGAATTTCTGCGAGTTGGAAGTCCACACATCGTCACGTTACCAAAGTTGAGAGTCCCAGGCATAAGCATAAGCAGCAAAGGTGAAGTGCAGAAGTTACATAGGGAGGCTGGGGTTTTGAAATCTCTCCCTCCCCTCAGTTTCTGGCAAAAAAAGTCGCATTTGGGAGAATTTACTTAACAACCATTACAAAAATGGTAAAAAAATAAGGTTCAGTTCCATGGATGTAACCCGAATGACTTATAACTGAAATTCTGTTCCCAATTGCAGTCAAGGGTTACCTGTACATTGGGAGAAGGGGGCTATCCTTATTGGGGATTTGAACTCAACCACTTGTGAACCCCTCCAGCTCTGACTCTTTTCTTACTGCTCTCTAGAAGTACATTGGGTAGATGGAGAGCCATGTTGAAGCATGGCCAGAGGGCCAGCGTTCCCAGGAGGCTCCAGGAGGTGTTCGGACAGCCCCTGGAACTGAGGAAGAATGTGCTGTTCTCTACTCAGATGCTGAGGATGACCCCTCACTCTTGACGGTCAATGGAACAGGCCCCCGAGCCCCCTTCCATTGCTCCGAATGTGACAAGAGCTTCCGCTACCGTTCGGACCTGCGGCGCCATTTTGCCCGACACACTGAACTGAAGCCTTTCCAGTGCCCTCACTGTGTCAAGAGCTTCAAGCATTCTTTTAATTTGGTGAACCACATCCGGAGCCACACTGGGGAGCGCCCGTACCGCTGCACCATGTGCCCCAAAGGCTTCCGGGATTCCACAGGACTTCTTCACCACCAGGTGGTCCACACTGGAGAGAAGCCTTACTGCTGCCATATCTGTGAGCTTCGTTTCTCCTCCCGCAGCAGTTTGGGCCGCCACCTCAAGCGCCAGCACCGGGCATCTCCTGCCACTGCAGCCCCTCAAGCGCCTACTCCGCGCTGCTTGGCCTGCGGCAAAGAGCAGAGTGCCTTGGGGCACCTTTGTGCTGCTGGCCGAGGCCGGGCTGCTCCTTTTGGTTGTGGGGCCTGTGGGCGGCACTTCCAGCTAGCCTCTGAACTTCGCCGTCATTGGCTGGCTCATACTGACATCAAACCCTTTAAATGTCCTGATTGCGAGAGAGACTTCAATGCTGCTTCCCTCTTGGAACGCCATAAACTCACTCATGCCAAGGACAGGCCCCCACCATGCCAGCTTTGTTCCAAGAAAGCTCAGAAGAGGGATGGGAGGATGCTGGAACTAAAGGGCATGGAGGAACAGCCAAAAGGAGGTGAGCAGGAGGAGGAGGAGGAGGAGGACCAGCGGCACAGCAGAGGCTGTCCATCCTGCCACTCTCCTGATACTCGCCCCCCAGACACGTTGTACCAATGTGAGTGTGGAACCTTTTTTGCCAACAGTAGCACTCTTGCAGCTCATCTGACTGCCCACGGAGGCGAGCCCTCTTTCACCTGTGGCATATGTGGCCAGCCTTTTGTGAACTTGCAGGCCCTGGAGGAGCACCAGCTGAGCCACGCTGTGTCCACAGCGCCAGTGCCAGGTCCAGGCAGCGAATTAGAACGTCACCTGTTGCCCCAGCTGGATCTCCGGACATTCCCAACTCAGCCCAGCAAGAAACTCTACAAGTGCAGTGAATGTGAGAAATTCTTCCGCAGTCCCCGAGATCTGGACCGTCACGTCTTGGTGCACACCGGTGAGAAACCCTACCAGTGCACTGAATGCGGAAAGTTCTTCCGGCATGAATGTTACCTGAAAAGGCACCGTCTATTGCACAGTGGCGAGCGTCCTTTCAAGTGCACTGTCTGCCACAAGGGGTTCATCACCCTGAGCAACCTCTCCCGCCATCTCAAGCTGCACCGAGGGATTGATTAGGAGGGCTATCCTGAACTCCCTAAGAATAGCCCTCCTTCCCCAGCACTACCTCCATCCCACAGTGGCAGCCACAGATGTTCCCGTTTTGGAGGTAGACTTCTGCCTGATGTTCTCGGACTCTGCCTGCCCTCACCCTCCTTCCTAGTTCAGTACTTTAAGGCAAGGACTTGAAATGAAAAAAATTATTATTGTTATTATTATTTACCAATGTTCCACTACTGTTAATAGAGTACATTGCACATGCTTGGCAAATTATAAGGTGTGTTGGGTAGAGAGGAATATCTCCCTGTTTATTGCCCTGATCGGTTCCAGAAAGTTTTTGATTTCAGAACAGGAATATTCCGAGCCATGGGAAGAAGGAGGAAAAACCCCTTGGTTAAGTGTCTAGCGTCCAAAGGTACTTGTGTGTGGGTGATCTTATTAACAGTGCTGAAATGACCTTGGCCAATAATCCTGGAGAAAGAGCTTTAGGGCAGAGTCATTCTCTTGCTCCAGAAAATAAGGAAACTTTGCTGGATATTTCCCCCTTGGAGTATTTCCCAATCACTTTAGTACTGGGATCTTGTACTAAAAGGCAGCACAATTGGCCAAAAAGATATATATGCACAAATCTAACATGCATCATTCTTTAGTCTGTGTAGTTTTCTTTCCTCTTTCCTTTTTCTTTTCCCATTTTATTCTTGATAGGACTACAGTTAGATGTACTTTCTGTTCCTCAAGGTAGAGAAATCTTATGTCCCTTATAATAGCCATTATCTCCAAGGTTAAATAGGGGTAACATGTTTACATCATAATTGTAATTAATTGAGAATCTCCAAAAAGGTTCAGATTGATTTAGAGAAGCCCACTAGTACAAGATTTGAGAACTTTTACTTCACAGTATATATGCTACCAAAGGAATATTAGAAAAGGGATATTAGATATTGAAAAGTAATTCACACTTTTTAAGTGTGTATGTAATTCACACCACTGATTTTTTTAAAAATCACAAAACTTAACAGCCTCTCTCTTCCCACCCCCCTCCAAATATCAGCCTTTTGTATTTATTTTATTTATCTCCCATCTTTTTCCTACAGCTCTCACCAGCCTTTCTAGCACACAATGTCCAAATTTTCTTCACAACAACAATTTTATGAGGGACTCTGGTGCAGCTTGAGAAGGATGAATTCTGTTTCCCATTTTTAATCTTGTGATATGACATGTTTTCTCCTTGTTTTAACTTATCAGCCAAAAGAATGCTCAGTTTCCTTTGCTTTGGTGTGAAGTTTCAGGGCAGAGAAACTAAGTATTTAATAGAAGGCAATGTTTTACAAAATAATTTAAAGAGTATTTGTCATTTTAATGGTAATATTGAGGAGCTGGTATATTTCTCCTTTGGTTGGCTGTAGGAAGGGTGGAATTTTGAGTTGGCCTAAGATTCTGTATAATTTCAAAATGATACTTAAAATTGCTGATTTTGTTAGGTGCCTAGTAGCATCTCAAAGATTGCGATGGCCTAGGAACAAGGAAAGCTCACATTTACGTGTTAATAATTAAATATGCAACGGAGAACAAACTAAAAAGCAAGGCATATTATCTAAATCAGGGATATTTAGCTTCGGCAACTTTAAGATGTGTGGACTTCAACTCTGAGAATTCCCCAGCCAGCGTGGCTGGTTGGGAATTCTGGGAGTTGAAGTCCACATGTCTTAAAGTTACCAAGATTGGACACCCCTGCTCTAAACAAGAAATTAGAACATAGTGAAGAGTTGTATGTTCTTGAAGTTTATATGAAAACCTAACACTGGGTTGGCTTTGCTTCATATTCTTTTGCCATTCTGCTGCCCCTCATAAGACTTCCTGGCTGGGCAGACTCATTTCTCCAATCCCTACAAATTCTGGGTTCTGATGGAGTAGCCCCTCCCCTTCCCAATATGGAATTGTTTGCTGACCAACAGCTGAATCTTCTCCTGGGTTTTTATCCCTCCTCATTTTTTAAGTCCTTGATAGGTCCTTGAACATCTAATAAACTTACGTTCCTGACCAAATCCCAGTTCCTTATCTTCTGTGGAATGTAAGCCTTGTATCTGGGCATTTCTGTATTATGTTTTATTGAAAAAAAATAACTGCACATGTGGGTATTTGCTTATGTTTTGGAAACAAAACCTGTCCAGTTTGCCTGGCTAAGGGGCCTACTTTATCTGTCCTCTGCTTGAAAGCTTATCTACTTCAACCTTGGTCTCAAGATAATTAACCACAAGAGAGAGGTGGGGAGGGGAAATATCCATCGGTAGTACCTGGGCAGTGAAATAAGCCATTTCAGTTGAAGTATTCTCCAATATGGCTGGCCAGTATTGTATTTCTGTTAATTTACCATTATATTAAACCTGCATCATATACATATGGATTAGCATTTGCAGTTTTTAATGTAACTATCTTTTTTTCCCCCCCTTGATGTTTGTCATTCTGGGCATAAGGTTCAAGTGACAGCATGTTTATACACAGCAGTGAGAGCTCACCTTGTCTCTGATGTGGAATTCTGGGAGTTGAAGTCCACAAGTCTTAAAGTTGCCAAGCTTGGAGACCCCTGGGTTAGAATACTCCCTTGAACAGAGAGGGTGAGTGGTCCAAGGTCATCGAGCAGGCTTTGCGCCTAAGGCGAGTCTAGAACATGTAGTCTGGTGCCTTAACCGCTACACCAAACTGGCTCTCCCAGTCCCAATGAATAGGGTAACAACATAGAGCTAAGACCATTATATAACAATATTTCAGAAACATGGCCAGTAAAAACAGGTAGGAGCACCGGTTTGGTGTAGTAGTAAAGGCACCACGCTAGAAACCTTGAGCCTGAATTAGGCACAAAGCCAGCAGGGCGACCTTGGCCCAGCCACACACTCACAGCCCGAGTGAGAAGGAGGCAAGAGCAAACCACTTCCAAAAATCTTGCCAAGTGTACGGTTGGGACTAACAGTCCAGGCAGTTGCCAGGAATCAGCAGTGATGTGGAGGCAGCTAACAATCCAATTTGACAGAGCGGCAGAGATTTAACAACTCTCTCAAGGTCTGGACCAGTGTGTCTCAACCTTGAGAATCTTAAGAAATGTGGATTTAATGCTGGCTGGGGAATCCTGCGAGTTGGAATCCACATGTCTTAAAGTTATCAAGATTGAGAAACACTGGTCAGGACTGTTCCGCCTTATAAGACTCTCATGGTAATATGAAACTACTGGATATGTTGTGAGAAGGAAGAAGTAATACAAGAGCCTCCTTTGGATAGGTGTATGTGTCAGCTGCTGCCTTTTTGGCTGACTCAGGAATTCTGGGAGTTGTAGTCCACAGGTTGTAGAGTTGCTATAGTTCGCCACCCCTAGTCTAGAGGAGCAATACCTTTGTCTCGTTTATTACACAGCTTTGGCATATAAAAGGGAGGGGGATGGGCCAAAGGTTGACAAAATGCACTAGAGCCGTGATGGCGAACTTATGGCCCACCTGCCAGAGATGGCATGCAAAGCCCTCTCCGTGGGCACTTGTGCTGTCGCCTGCTGTTCTTCTGGTTTTCAGGCGCATCAGCCAGCTGGTCTTCACGGGTGCCAGAGCATTGGAAAGCAGCCCGAAAAACGGGTCTTTTTCCAGGCCTTTTTTGGGCTGTTTTCAGGCCAAAAATGGCCTGAAAGTGGCCCGAAAATTGGCCTGAAAATGGCCAACAACGGCAAAGAAGCAGGCATGTGTGCACCAGCCAGGTGGTCTTCGGATTTCCGGTGCTCCAGCGCATGCAAAGACCAGCTGGCCAGCACGCCTGCTGGAAACCGAAGACCAGCTGACAGGCACACCCATGCGCGCCAGTCAGCTGTTCTTTGGGTTTCCGGCACTCTGACGAGCGCACATGCACACGTGTTCCAGTTTGGGCACTGGGTGCCAAAAAGGTTCGCCATCACTGCACTAGATGTAATCCTCAACCTACAACCATTCGTTTAGTGACCATTCGAAGTATAACGGCACTGAAAAAAGTGACTTATGACTGTTTTTCACATTTAACAACTGTTGAGTCATCCCCATAGTCGTGTGATTAGAAGAATTGGGTGCTTGGCAATTGGTTCATATTTATGACTTCCAGTGTCCCAGGATCATGTGATCTCCTTTTGTGACCTTCTGACTAGCAGAGTCCGTGTGGAAGCCAGATTCATTTAGCCATGTTACTGACTTAATAACTGCAGTGATTCACTTATGGCAGGAAAGCAGGCGTGAAATGTAAAATTTGTTACTACCGGTTCTGTGGGTGTGGCTTGGTGGGGGGGGTGGGGTAATGTGACTGGGTGGGCGTGGCCAACTTTTTTTTTTTTTTAAACTTTTCAAAGCATTTTTTCTAATGCTTTGAAAAGCCTCTGCCGATCAGGCAACTCAGCTGGGATCGTCAGAGACTTTTCAAAGCATTTTTTTTACCACCTCTTCGGCCAAGAGGTTGCAGAAAAAAATGCTTTGAAAAGCTTCTGAGTATCCCAGCTGAGCCGTGCGATCATCAGAGGCTTTTTTTTTTACTTTTAAAAGCATTTTTTCGTCAGAAGAGGTTGTAGAAAAAATGCTTTTAAAAGTAAAAAAAAAAAAAAAAAGCCTCTGATGATCCTGTGGCTCAGCTGGGCATGGGGATGGGTGAGCGCAGGGATTTTTGCTACCGGTTCTCCGAACCATCCGCCGCCATCGCTACCGGATTGGATGATCCGGTCCAAACCGGGAGCATTTCACCCCTGCAGGAAAGGTTGTCAGTCAAGATAGTGACTGACTGTGACATCACAATTACATCCCTGTTCCTTTTTTACATGACATGGATGCATGGCTTTGATAGTGCAGTTGTGGCCGCCATCTTGATTTTATGACTTCCTGCATTGACCCTACATGTTAGGATTGTAGGAAGGTTAGAAATGCTCCATCTAGGTTTTGAAGGAGAAAATAAGATTGATTTTTCAATCATCGTTTTAGCTGCTTCAGGCAATACAGCTCTGTACACGCAACAAAATACTACGAGTGGGTTCATACAGTACACAAAGCTAAAATGTGATCAACTTATTTGTGACCTAATGGGTGGCTGGGGTTTTTTTTTTCCAGTAAATCATGATTAAGCTAACTTTGGCTTGATGTGTTCTGAAGGTTGTATTGATATGATTTGAAGCTCCCCCCCCATAGCAACAGTAACTATGGCAGCAACAGAGATACAAAAGGGTTCTTCTTGCATGCTAAGTCGTGCACTTTAGTTTGCACCATTTGCTATATGAACTGAATTACTGTAGCAGTGATGGCTAACCTTTTCCGGAGCGAGTGCTCAAACGCACACTCGAACCCCCAAAATGCAATGTGTGCACACTCCCGTGCATGCACCCCGTCCCTCTGCATGCTTCCCTCCTGCACATGTGCGGCAGAGACCCGAAGACCAGCTGGCTGGTGGGAGGCGTGCGTGCATGCACCGCAGAGCTGAACTGGGGCGACGGCTCGCATGCCTACAGAGAGAGTGCTGCATGCCGCAGGTTCGCCATCATGGTACTATAGTTTGTAAATCATGATTTTGGGCTTCGTATGTGTGAAGCTGAACCATTTGTGGCTTAATCAGTAAACTGCAACTCGGTAAAACCAATTAGTACTCAAAGTCATTCTGTAATACTTTTAATTTGTCCCAAAACTAAATCTCAATTCCATTTCTCTGTGTGTGTGCCTTCAAGACAATGTTTTGACTCCAAACCAGAGGTGGGTTTCAGCAGGTTCTGACCAGTTCTGGAGAACCGGTAGCGGAAATTTTGAGTAGTTTGGAGAATCGGTAGTAAAAATTCTGACTGGCCCCACCCCCATCTATTCTCTGTCTCCCAAGTCCCAGCTGATCAGGAGGAAATGGGGGTTTTGCAGTAACCTTCCCCTGGAGTGGGGTGGGAATGGAGATTTTACAGTATCCTTCCCCTGCCACGCCCACCAAGCCATGCCCACCAAGCCACACTTACAGAACCGGTAGTAAAAGTTTTGAAACCCACCACTGCTTCGGACGACTACTTAGACAAGTCTCTGCAGTTTTATTGGCAACATTTCAGAAGTGATTTGACCTTGCCTACTTCTTTGGGCTGAGAGAGAGTGACTGGCCCAATGTCACCCAGTTGGCTTCATGGCTAAGGTGAGTCTAGAGCTCATGGATTCTTGGTGTCTAGCCTGGCATTCGCAGCATATTTATCATCTCTCATCTTGTCTTCTATTCTGAGAGATAAACTGTGCGGGCTATTTTAGATAATCTCCTATCTTGATTTCGGCAAGGCAGAGAGACCCAGTTTGTCCCAGTGATGTTAAGGTGTTGTCCTAGAAACCAGAAGATGACAACGAGTTCCAGTTCTGCCTTAGGCATGAAAAACCAGCTGAGTGACTTTGAGCCAGTCACTCTCTTTCAGCCCAATTCACTGCACAGAGTTGTTTTTGTTAGGAAAATAAGAAGTATCTATGTTTGCCGCCTTGAGCTGTATGTGAAAAAAAGAAAACGGGGTAAAAATACCTAAAAGGAAAATGTGGTTCTTCACAAATGCTCCATGGCTTGTCAGAAGATTATTTTCTTCTTTGTTATAATATATTAATAGCTTTAATCCTTAATGAATCAAAATGCCAAGGATTTGCTACTACAAGTATTCCTTGAGTCACTGCCCATCATGGTGATAACGTCTGGCAATCATGTGACTTTTTTTGAGGTATTTAAGTGAATCACCACAATTGTTAAGCAAATCCACAGTTGTTGAGTGAACACCAAAATCAATAAGCGAACCAATAGGATTCAACCAGAAGCGCTGCGGCGAGAAAGTCTGGAATTAGCGGGCTCCGATGAGTCTTGTGAAATTCCAGGCTGACAAACCACTGTTGGGGGGTCTTCGGACTGGATCTGTCCCATAGGGACGGAGAAGGAGAGGCACCTCGGATGACCAAGAGGAACAGGCAAGTTCCTCACAGGTTGGAGAAAACTCTTCAACTCGGGGGCGGGGGCGGCGGCCATAGCGGCCACCATAAAGCTGGGGCAACCAGACTAAGTTTTGAGCAGGAGCGGTGATTTGGATGGAGTACTGGCACCAGGTGAGTGATTGCCAGCTCACAGGTAAAAAAGAAATATTTCTAAATTGTTAAAAGGTGCCCCAGCGAAGAAACAGCAGCTAATGGGCGTGGGGAAATGTTAATGGAGAGAGAAGAACAAAGCGGAAGTTTAAAGTGTTAAAGCCTGAAACGGAACTTGATTTTTGGATTAGAATGTGAGTGGAGATAATTAAATTATTAGAAGAAGAAACCCGAAATAGCTGTGAAGAGGACTGGAAATAACTTTAAAAATTTTGACCATTGAAGGAAGAACAAAAGAAAAACTTAATAAAGCCCTGTAACAGAAGTCTTTTAATTGGATTTGGAACTGGATTTTAAATTGGATTTTGGGGAATACAAAATTAAGAAGAAGATGGAAATTGGCAAATATTGGCAACGTGGATTTAATAAATAACATGGATATTTTCTTAGTTTGCTGATTGGAATTGTGGATTGGAGAGAGATATCTACAGGTGGAAAAAACATTACAACGGTTAATTTGTATTTTGGGGAAAAAAAATTTAAAGGGATAAGCGGTGGAAACTTTTGAGGAGGATTTGTTTTCTTTTAAGCTGTTTGATCTCAACAACCAAAGAAGGTGGATTAAAATAAAACTTAAAATTGGAACAACAACAACCCAGAAACAACAACAACCCAGAAACAACAAAATGGCGCAGGAACTAATTGAAATTATTAAAATGAGGCATATAACATTCAAATTGGAATTAAATGAAATGATTACAATGATGCATGGAAAACCTAAGCCTGATGAACTAGAGACTGTGTTAGAACTTACCCAAGAAACTATGAATGAGAAGCAAGAAATTAATACTGAAGATAAAGACATTGATTATGAAAAATCAAATGATCAAATGATGTGGAGAGTAACAATGAAAAAAAGAGGGGAGTTAGGAGAAAATTAACTGGAAAAAGCAAACAAAGGGGAGAAAATGAAAGGGGGAAAGATTAGGAACAAAAGTGAACTTTAAAGATTACATTGGGATTAACAATGACAAAAAGAGAGAGGATGGAAAGAGACAGAGAAAGAAGAGGGGAAGAGACTAAACACAAAAAATTCAAATGATTACATCAACAGTGGGAAAAGGGAAAAGGAGGAGAGCAGATGGAAATACAGGGCAAATCAGGAGAATAAGGGACTTTAAAATTAGGAGAAAAAAGGGAAAAAGAAGAAAATAAGAGAATGGGATAAAGGGAGAAAGGAGAAGTTAATGTAAAGGAAAAGGGAAAATGTTTTATATTTAGAACTATAAATGAATTGAAGTAAAATCTATAATTATAAATAAATTGTAAGTTTAACATATGTGATTGTAATACTTGGAATGTCTTTAATTGTAATAATGGAATTCAGCTAAAGCATTTGAAATTGTATTGTAAAAAGATATTAATGGATTATTAAATAAGAGAAGGGAAAGGGAAAAGATGAAAATTGACTTTGTTTACTGTTTAACATGAAGAGAGACACTGTTACCAATAATTGAAATTAACTTTCAAGAGGGGGAAATATTATTGATCATGATTATGGTTTATTATGAAGAGGTGTAGATAGTACATTTGAAAAAGCAATGGAAAATTAGGTTTATTTAAAAAAAAAACAATTGGAATTGAGAAATAGAAATTAATTACTTTAATGTTATATACTTAAATGAATTGTAGTAATATACTTAATTGTAGTATTTGGATAAGCTGATAAAGGAAAGAAATGGAAAAGGGGGAAGGAAATGTGTTATATATGTAAAATTGTATGAATATTAATATCTATAACTGGAATAATGGAATCTAGGGAAATATTTGAAATATATTATGTTGTGAAAAGGGAGCAATGGGTAATTATTTGAATAAGATGATTTAGAGTTAGGGTTAGGTTTTAGAATGATTGATTTTAAATTAAAGGGTTTCAATTTGGAAAAAGTAATTTGGGGGGGGTTAAAGAAAAACTGACCAAGATTAGAGATTAGGGTGAATGGTAATATTGGTTATATACCAGAAGAAACAGAAGGAAAATAAAACAAAAAATTAGAGAGAAAGAATATTATGGCAAAAAGTGAAATATATAAATTGTGCTGGAGAAAACTAAAAGCTGTACTAATTATGACTCAGCCAATACTCTGTTCAGAAAAAATGTATTCTCTGTTTGTGTGTGTTTGTGTTGAAAAAAAATAAATAAAAAACTTTTCTAAAAAAAAAAATAAGTGAACCAATAGCTTGCCTGTGGGTGGGGTTTTGCCAAAAACTGGAAATACCTGTGGGTTTTCGGCAAAACCATCATGAAACACAGTCATATGATAGCAGGATGCTGCAAACCAGTTCCTGAATGTACAAAATGCAGTTGTGATCAGTGTGTGGAGGGTGAGGGGGGGGAAAAGAACCATCCGAATTTTGAATCTGGGTTTGAATGGCTGCTGGCTGTAAATTGAGGAAACCAAATTCAGAAGTCTGGGATGATTCTGGCTGTATTCTGGTGTAAAGACACAAACACCCCAGGCAGCAGATGCAGGAAATGGCCAATCTGCGCCCTCCCTTTTCCAACCATCTGTTCATATGTAACATGGACTTGGATTTTGCGCATACTCATTGCGTTTTGGACTCATTTCTTCCATTAAGCACCTCCTGTTGGTATGCACCTGAAGGAAGTGGGAAATGCATTAAACTGCCCAATTATTGAAATTGCCACCCAGGTCTTATATTGACCATCTGACCAAATGTTGATGGTGGTAGGCAGTTTCTGGGAATAGAATAGAATAGAATAGAATAGAATAGAATAGAATAGAATAGAATTCTTTATTGGCCAAGTGTGATTGGACACACAATGAATTTGTCTTTGGTGCATATGCTCTCAGTGTACATAAAAAGACAAGACACAGATAAGATACATAAGGATTCCATTCTGACATTTTCTGCCTGTCTTTGGAAATCTCAGGTCCTGAATTTGAATACTTTAGCAGGCACTCATCTATATCCTCAGATCAGCCTGATAATTCCATTTGGGGTTGACTTCTCCATTTAAAGTCCTGCAGAAAACACAAGGGCAAAACTGGGAATGGCAGAAATTGGAGGGACACCAAATTGGCTTTTAATAAGTGGAGAGGTCAGCTCCAAGGTGTGGAGCTCTTAGCACTTTCACAGAGAAAAATCAAGGGCATCTGATTCCATAATTAACTGCTTTGGCAATTTTCAAACAGCATCTGAAACTGAATGCAGGAAACCTTCCCCTCCCTCTGTTTTAAATTTCCTTTTAGCTTTCCTTCGGGATAATAATCCTATGTAATTCACGAAAGTGCTGCCATGCAATTTAAAATCTTCTAAAATAAGGAGGGTTCTGGGAGTTTTTGATCTCTAGGTCCTGAAGAAGATTAATCTCAACTACCATATACAGCTAATCTCAATTTCAAAGATTCTGCTGGTGTCTCTTTGAAGAAAAAATATTTTCTGCATTAGAACTTTCCAAGGTTCGTTCATTCTGGTCCTACTTGGTTATGAAGATTGTTTTTCCTCCAAGGTTGTTGCCACATAACACACATACATCAGAGCTTCTGCCTGATTTGTGATATGATCACATTTCTCTTACAACTTGGCACAGCATTGGTTATTCTATGATGAACAGATTGATCAGATTTGTATCCAGCCTTTATTACTTCACAAATAAGTTGGTGAACGTACATAATACTCACAGATGAAGGTAAATATACATGTCACAGGATAATGTTGCAGGATCTAATCAGGATCAGTCACTGGGACCAGAGGTTTTGTCTTCCGAGCTTTCAGACTTGTGCTGGAGCCCATCCTCAGGAAACTTCTCTCCACCAGAATGTGTGCTTTGGGCTATTCTATTTTACTCTATTTTATACTAAACTTCTGGTCCTGGTGGGTGACCCACCCAGATTGGATCTTGCATACATAATACTCCTTCCTATTATCCCCATAACAATGACCCTGTGAGGTATGTTGGGCTGAGAGAGAATGACTGGCCCAAAGTCACCCAGGCAGTTTTCATGCCTAAAACAGGATTAGAATTGTTAGTTTCCTGTGACTGACCCAAAGTCACCCAGCTGGTTTTCATGCCTAAAATGGGACTACAACTCACTAGATATTATGGTGCCTTGTTTGCAAGGAAGCTTTCCGGACAGAAATGAGCTGAAGAGCCTTAAATGTTTCACAAATCAACAGTGAATTGGAGAAAGCAAAGCAATATCAGTGTAGCATCTGCCTCAAATGTTTTTCTAGGAAGGGTTCCACCTACCGATAGTAGAAATGACACTATCCAGTAAACCTAGTCAACTTTTGCCTTAATGAGCTCCAACATCCGAGACAAAGATAGCAAAAGAATGAAATGTTTAAAAGAAGTTTCATCTGAGTTCTAATGAAGCCAGGATGTGAGGCTCAAATATGTTTCATACAAGACTGCCAGGATTTATAATAATCTCCATTAAGAAAAATCCTACCTAATATTGTGACACCTTAAAATGTCAACGCATCTATTCTATTTAAACACCTTATATATCATTTCGATAAAATTCTATCCAATCTTCTATCCACTCCTATTTACCTTAGAAAGTAGTCTTTGGTGTCATGGAAAGTAGTAAGCAGATGTGCTGGAAGATATTTAAGTTTCTCTGAGCTGTAATTGGGCACTTTCCAATGAGATCTGATTGGACAGCGTTGTCATCCTTCGGAGCGATTGGTAAAGACGACCAGACGTTTTTACAGGTTGGCGAAGTGGGAGTAGAGTGTTCTCGTTCAGAGTTTCCACTCTGGTCCGTCTCCAGACTATATTAAGTTCCTGGCACAGCATCTTTCAGCTGCTATCGGCTTGGTGGCTTAGTGGCTAAGATGTCTGGCCGTGGAAAAGGAGGGAAAGGCTTAGGGAAGGGAGGCGCCAAGAGGCACCGTAAGGTCCTCCGTGACAACATCCAGGGCATCACGAAGCCCGCTATTCGCCGCTTGGCTCGTCGTGGGGGAGTGAAGCGGATCTCCGGGCTCATCTATGAAGAGACTCGAGGCGTCTTGAAAGTCTTTTTGGAGAACGTTATCCGGGATGCGGTTACCTACACTGAACATGCCAAGAGGAAGACGGTGACTGCTATGGACGTCGTTTATGCTTTGAAACGCCAAGGTCGCACCCTGTACGGTTTTGGTGGTTAAAAAGCTACATTTCCACTGCTGACAAATCAACCCAAAGGCCCTTTTCAGGGCCACCCACGCAGTCATTTTAAAGAGCTGTTTTCAGTTTGGGAAGGGGGAGGGAAGCCCTCACGTAACCACTGTAAATGTATTCCGATCGACGATGTTAGTAAATAATTAACTGAGCAAGTTAAGCTGCTTTATTACGCTTTTTTTTATTATTTTTTTAAGGTTTGTGAAACTAGGCTGGTTAAGGTTTTATCATTTTTTAAAAGTATATTTTCAACATGCTTATCGCATGTTTTGTCTTTTCGGAAAGACTAGTTATTACGGGAGGCGGGTGAAATGCTGAAGCTTTCGACATCTCTTCTGTGTTCATCGGGGAACAAAAGAAAAAGGGAAAGCCGGATGTGGATTAATTACGCGCCACAAAGAATCAGTTCTGCAGCGCGGCAGATTCAAACCTCGTTAAGTGAACCCTAAGATTTATGTGAGAAATTTGCCACAAGATGGCAGCGGAGAGCAAGGAATGGCGATTCCACCCCCCCCCCCCAAAGCCCCTCATGAAAAGATCTGTATAATAATGTGAAAAGACTACAATATACCCCGCAATCATTCAAATGCTTGACGGTAGAGAAACTGATGTCTAGGTACATTTCCATCCTTCAGAGGTCAGTAAAATGAGGAGCCAGATTGTTAGGGGCAATATGCTGATTCCCTAAACTACTTAGAGAGGGCAGTAAAACATTATGAGTTAGTATATAAGTCTAAGTGCTATTGCTATTACTGTACTATAATATCTCCAGGGAATAGTCATGGCTTGGAATAATAAGGAATCAAGTAAAAATATTCATTTATATCCTCAATTGCCATCAGTGATTGAATTTTCCATTTGTTTAAGGTGTTATGCATTTTTAAAGCTAACCATCTGGATTTTGCACAAGAGAAAAATAATAAATTTGCCTATTTCAAGAAACTTTTTCTCTTCAAGGGAAAAAGGTGAGAGCAGGAAAAATAAAGCAACAGTTTCCTTATTTCTCTCAAAATTAGTTTCAGAGGGGTAGTAGGGTTCTTCACACAAGCTGTTTACAGTATAGATTACTTATCTCACCAAAACACTAAGATACCTTGTTGATTTAAAGACAGCATCCTAAAAACATCTAGAGCAGTGATGGCAAACCTTTTTGGCACTGAGTGCCCAAACCGGAATGTGCGTGCATTTGCGCATGCCAGAGCGCCGGAAAAAGGCGTTTTTGGGCCATTTTTCAGGTTGTTTTCCAGCACTCCGGCGCCCACAAAGCCCAGCTGGCTGGCACACTGAAAACCAGAAGAGCAGTTAGCAACTGTAAGTGCCCACAGAGAGGGCTCTGCATGCACCTCTGGCACGCATTTAATTTAATTTAATTTATCGCATTTTTATGCCGCCCAACTCCCAAGGGACTCTGGGCAGCTTACAGCAAAAATAATGCGAACAATGAACATAGAAAAATTATTTTAAAACATTATAAAAACATTTTAAAAACATTAAAAGCCCATGCACACCATTCATGGCCGGATCTCGCAAGATTTGCAACAGTGAGGTCAACGGCTCCAGGCCTGCTGGAAAAGCCAGATCTTCACCGCTTTCTGGAAGGAATAGGGTGGGGATAGTCCGGATCTCAGGAGGTAACTGGTTCCAGAGAGCCGGGGCAGCCACAGAGAAGGCCCTCCCCTGCGGGCCCACATACCATAGGTTCGCCATCACGGATCTAGAGTAAAGATAAGATCCTTTGATTCAGAAACATTTCAACTAAAATGAAAGCAGTTAACAGGCAGGAGGGTCCTTTGTCCCCAAAATGAGTTCCATTGCTGCAACTGACCTGCTTCTAGCTATCCATCACTTCTCCACATGAACATTATATGTAAATGGTGTCTGTTGTTGTTATCTCTTAGATAATTTATTTATTTATTTTATTATATTATATTTCTATACCGCCCTTCTCCTGCGGGACTCAGGGCGGTGTACAGCCAGGATAAAACATAGCATATAAAATTTAAAAACATGTTAAAAAACAATTAAATAATTTTGGCCCGAATTTAAAACAACCCAATTAAAACCGAATTCGATTAAAAAACTGAGAGGATGGGATCAAGCCAGCCCAGCTAGATGGAACAAGTGTGTCTTCAGGGCCTGACGAAAAGTCCGGAGGTCTGATATCGTGCGTATCTCAGGGGGCAGGTCATTCCAGAGGGCAGGTGCTGCCACAGAGAAGGCTCTCCCCCTGGGGGTCGCCAGCCGGCACTGCCTGGCTGACGGCACCCTGAGGAGGCCCTCTCTGCGAGCGAACCGGTTGGTGGGAGGCTATTGGCGGCAGAAGGCGGTCTCGCAAATACCCTGGCCCTAAGCCATGGAGCGCTTTAAACGTGGTCACCTTGAAGCGCACCCGGAAGACCACAGGAAGCCAGTGCAGCTTGCGCAGGAGAGGTGTTATATGTGAGCGCCCCGTCACTCCCATAATCCCCCGCACGGCCGCATTCTGGACCAACTGCAGCCTCCGGGTGCACCCCAAGGGGAGCCCCATGTAGAGAGCATTGCAGTAGTCTAGGCGGGAAATGACGAGTGCTTGAGTGACCATGCGTAGGGAGTCCTGATCCAGAAAGGGATGCAACTGGCGTATCAGGTGAACCTGATAAAAAGCACCCCTGGCCACGGCCGTCATATGCTCTTCTAAAGACAGCCGTGCATCCAGGAGGATGCCTAAGTTGCGAGCCCTCTCCGTGAGGGCCAGTGATTCGCCCCCAATAGCCAGCAATGGCACCAGCTGGCTATATCAGGACGCCGGAAGCCACAGCCACTCGGTCTTGGAAGGGTTGAGTCGGAGCCTGTTTCTCCCCATCCAGGCCCGCACAGCCTCCAGGCACTGGGACATCACTTCAAGGGCATCATTGGGGTGGCCTGGGGTGGAGATGTACAGCTGAGTGTCATCAGCGTACTGATGGAACTCCACCCCAAAGCCACGGATGATCTCGCCCAGCGGCTTTACATAAATGTTGAACAGAAGGGGCGAGAGGACCGACCCTTGTGGCACCCCACAAACAAGGCGCCTCGGGGTCGACCGCTGCCCCCCTGTCAACATGGATTGTGACCAGTCAGAGAGGTAGGAGGAGAACCACCGCAGAACGGTGCCCCCCACCCCTAGCCCCTTCAACCGGCGCAACATGATACCATGGTCGATGGTATCAAAAGCCGCTGAGAGATCTAACAGGACCAGGATAGAGGAACAACCCCTATCCCGAGCCCTCCAGAGATTATCCACCAACGCGACCAACGCTGTTTCTGTGCTGTGGCCAGGCCGGAAACTGGACTGGAGCGGGTCTAGATAGACAGCTTCATCTAGGTACCGGGGAAGCTGCCACACCACCACACTCTCAACAACCTTCGCAATGAAGCGAAGGTTGGAGATTGGACAATAGTTAGCCAAAATAGCCGGATCCAGGGAGGGCTTCTTGAGGAGGGGCCTCACCACCGCTCCTTTCAAAGCGGCCGGCAGGACCCCCTCACTCAGAGAAGCGTTAACAATCCCCTGGAGCCAGCCTCATGTAACCTCCCGGGAAGCCAGTACCAACCAGGAGGGGCACAGGTCCAATAAACATGTGGTCACGTTCAGCCGTCCCAGGATCCTGTCCACGTCCTCGGGAGCAACAGGATCTAATAATGCAGATGATGCAAACTTATATGTTTAGAAATGGTTTTGGAAATGAAGAAAATGGCTATCGATACCTCTAGCTTAGCCCATCGAATTGACCCACTGTTGGCTTTGAAACAACCCAAAATGGAGACAAGCTCTAGCCAAAGTGTTTTTAATGTTAACATGGATGTCCTGCAAACTGGCAAAATAATACAGGTAGTCCTCAACTTATAACCATTTGTTTAGTGACTGATTGCAGTTATGGCACTGAAAAAAGTGACACAATCATTTTTCACATAATTGCGATGCTTGGCAATTAGTATGTATTTATGATGGTTGCAGTGTCCTTGGATTGTGCGATCACCTTTTGTGACCTTCTAACCAGCAAACTCAATGGGGAAGCCAGATACATTAAACAACTTGTTACTAATTTAACTATAGTGATTCATTTAACAATCGTGGCAAGAAAGATTGCAAAATGGGGCAAACTCACTTAATAACTGTCTTGCTTAGCAAGAAAAAAATTTAGGATCATTTTTTTTTTTTTTAGAATAGAATAGAATTTTTTATTGGCCAAGTGTGATTGGACACATAAGGAAATTATCTTGGTGCATACGCTCTTAGACTACATAAAAGAAAAGATACATTCGTCAAGAATCATAAGGTACAACACTTAATGATAGTCATAGGGAACAAATAAGCAATCAAATCATATTGGGAAACAGTCAATATAAATCATAAGGATACCAGCAACAAGGTTACAGTCATACAGTCATAAGTGGGAGGAGATGGGTGATAGAAACGATAAGATTAATAGTAATGCAGAGTTAGTAAATAGTTTGACATTGCTGAGGGAATTATTTGTTCAGCAGACTGAGGCGTTTGGGAAAAACTGTCCTTGTGTCTAGTTGTTCTGGTGTGCAGTGCTCTATAGTGTCATTTTGAGGGTAGGAGTTAAAACTGTTTATGTCCAAGATGTAAGGGGTCTGTAAATATTTTCACAGTCCTCTTTTTGACTCGTGCAGTATACAGGTCCTCGATGGAAGGCAGGTTGGTAGTCATGGTTTTCTCTGCAGTTCTAATTATCCTCTGAAGTCAGTGTCTGTCTTGTTGGGTTGCAGAAACAAACCAGATAGTTATAGAGGTGCAGATGACAGACTCAATAATTCCTCTGTAGAACTGAATCAGCAGCTCCTTGGGCAGTTTGAGCTTTCTGAGTTGGTGCAGAAAGAACATTAATTTGTCATGCTTTTTTAATGATGTTTTTGATGTTAGGTGTCCATTTTAGATCTTGCGATATGGTAGAACCTAGAAATTTGAAGGTCTCTACTGCTGATTGTGGTAAATTGAGAACTAACTGTATGGCATAACCAATACAGGAGAATATTTGTAGCTCGGGGTTGAAATGAGGGTTCTCAGTTCACTCTGAGCTTGCAGGTATTTCATTATCCAAACTTGGTAACATCATCAATTGATGAACATATGAATACATATATATACACAAAGGTTGAGGACACAATGAAAGG